ACGAAAGCCCGTGGACCTGACCACACGCGGGAGGGCAGCACTCCCCGCGGACGGAAGCCCGCGGCCAGGGCAAGACATCCACACGGAGGGTCCGGACCCCGCCCCACGGTGCCCAGTGCGGGGCGCGTGTGAGCCAGGCGGCTCCGCAGGGCTCTGTGTCCAGGCCGACTCCCTGGGGTCACGGGCGGGGGCAGGGGGCAGGCGGACGGTGACCCCGAGCAGCAGCTCCGCCTGGATTTCGGGGCACACGCCCAAAGCCGTCCCCACAGTAACGCGCTGAGGGACGGACGGACGTCAGGCGTTTTTAGGCACTTCGGCAACTCACCTGCTGAAAGGAGGACACTTTCTTCGCCAAAGCAGATGGAAACTGTTGCTCACACACTGAACTGTGGTAGTAGGTCCGCCACAGAGCCGCGTCGTCCAAGCACAGGGTCTGATAGAAACTGGGCAGCGCCACCTACAACACAGCGAGACGGGGCGCGGAGCACGACTAGCAGACGCCGCGGGTGCGCGCACGGGGTGCGTGTGCGTGCGTGTGCGTGGGCGCGCGCGGCTGCGAATCAACGGAGGCGGTTACGGAGGGATGTCTCCCCGCCGTCCTGCCTACGTCAGAAGTGTGGTCGACCTGCCCAACCCAGAATTAGAAAAAAATCAAACACTTCCAGTCGGTGTTTGGAAGTGAGCGCGTCTGGTCTGTGTGTGCACACGCTGCCCAACGGCCCGCTGGTGGCCGCCGCCCGCGCCACGGTGGGTTATACATCACGCCCGGCCTCCCAGCGCGTCCAGTCCTTGCGGGAGCGCTGTCCGCCCCCCGCACTCCGCGGCGTCGCCCTCGCAAGCACTCGCAAGCACGTTGCTTCCTTCGCCCACAGCCTTCTGACCCTCTGCTTCCCGGGCTCCAGCCGCGCTCCCGCCTCAGTCCCCGGAGCGCGCGGCACCGTCCCTCGGGGCTCTCCCCGCACAGTCCTCTCCTGCGCACCGCACCGAGGACCCGCTCTCCCCAACTCCGTTCGTCATCTTGCTCAGCCTCACCGAGGTACCACCGACAAATTCGTACGTATTTAACAAGTGCCTCGATAAGCATTTATACCCTAATGAAATAAATCCACATTAACTCACAAGTTACCATTTTTTTTTGTAGCGAGAACACTCGGAATCTACTCTCTTAGTTAAATTGAAAGTGTATTAAGCAGTATTGTTAACATAGAGCCACCGGGTTTCACTAGGTTCTCCAGAACTCACCTTACTTTCAAACATTTGTACCCGGTGTCCAACTTCTCCCCATTTCACACCACCCTCAGCTCCTGGCAACCTCCATCCCCCTTGCAGCTGTTTTGAGTTCTAATTTTTGTGGATGAGTAATATCCCAGTATAGATGGACAGATCACATTCTCTTCATCCATCATCCACTGATGGCTGCTCTCAATTACAGTAATAAACATGCGAGTGTAGGTATCTCTTAGATACTGGTTTCATTTCCTTGGCATGTATGCCCGGAAGTAGGAAGTAGGGCTGCTGAAGCATACAGTACTTCTATTTTTAATTTTTTGAGGACCCTCCCTAGTGTTTTTCATAATGGCCGTACCAATTTGTATTTTCACCAATGCTGCACATTTTCCCTTTTCTCGTAAGCTCGCCAGCACTCATCTCTTGTCTTTCCAATTACAGCCCTCCTAAGACTTGTGGACTGATACCTCACTGTGAGTTAATTTGCATTTCCCTCATGATTAATGACGTTGAGCACCTTTTTTGTGTATCTGTCGGCCATTTGTATGACTTCTTCAAAAAAAATGTCTGTTCAGGTCCTTTGCCCATTAAAGAACAATTTTTTTAGTATAGTACACTTTTTTTGAGATGCGACGTCAGTCTCAGGTGCACAACACCGTGATTCAAATCTCTGAACTATGCTGTGCTCACGCAGGTGTAGCACCACCTGCCTCCACACAACTACTACTCAACACCCTGACCACACCCCTTGCTGTGCCTTCTACTCCCATGACTTACTCGCCCCACAGCCTCACCCATTTTGCCCATCCCCCCTCCCCTCCAGCAGCCTCTCCCCCAGACTTTTACCAACACCGGGCTACAACATCAGAAATGTCAACCTGTACAGATGGAGAACTTCTATTGAAAATAATAGTGAATTCGGGGCGCCTGGGTGGCTCAGTTGGTTAAGCGACTGCCTTCGGCTCAGGTCATGATCCTGGAGTCCCGGGATCCAGTCCCGCATCGGGCTCCCTGC